AAAAAAAAAAAAAAAACGCTCTTGCATAATTTAAAAACGAAGACGATTATGCATTCACAGACTAAATTGTTAAATCTTCACAGATTACGAATGAGATTGAGCTGCACAGGACCCTGTCGCACAAGCATGTGGTGAAATTCTCTCACTATTTTGAAGACCAGGAAAACATCTACATATTCTTGGAGCTTTGCAGTCGAAAGGTAACTCTCCTGAATGTTCGCTCTGGCACTGCTTGTTCTGCTTTACCCTATTTTATTACTTTTTTTAAATATATCTGTTTGTCTTCCAGTAAATGCTGCTTTAAATGTATTTTTTGTGAATCTTAAGTTTAAACAAATCTCCACTTGGTCATTTTGAAAACGTGCTGCAGTGATTGCTCATGATATAACAGTGACTAAAGAAACCCATGGGGTTAGCTTTACTAAATGTGGGTTAAGGTGGGGTTGTTTCAGTCTCACTGACAGATTCAGGTTTTTTATTTAATTCCTTGTTTTGTCTCGACAGTCCCTGGCACATATTTGGAAGGCGAGACACACACTGACAGAGCCTGAGGTCCGGTATTACCTCAAACAGATCATCTCCGGCCTCAAGTACCTCCACAGCAGGGGGATCCTGCACCGAGATCTCAAACTAGGTATGTTTGGGGTGGCGTGACTGTAAGGATGTGGGATGCAAGAAAAGCATCCCAGGAATCCGACATGACTTTAGTCATCCACGTGTCATCTGTGGAATGCTGACTTAACGAAAGCTTTTTTTTTTTTTTTTTTTTTTTTCAGGGAACTTCTTTGTCAACGAGAACATGGAGCTCCGTCTGGGAGACTTCGGCCTCGCTGCCAAGTTGGAGACGGTCGAACAGCGAAAAAAGTTAGTATTCTTGAGGGGGGAAATTATTTTATCAAAGCTGTGGTTAAAATGTTTTAGTTGTAACAATATTAAGCATTTCTCAGAACATGTTGTCCCCTCTTTTTTTTTTATTTTTTTATTCTAAGAACCTTAACTCAAACCCATTACATCAGTCTAAGCACTTTGTTCCTCCTACAGCTTTCCTCCAGTAAGCACCTAACTGAACCGGTTTCTAAGTGGCAGTTGACTGTAGAGTTCACATCAAAGTTTCAATACTTGTTTGACTTCTTCCTGTGGAAGACCTGGGAGGGGGAAAAAAAAAGAATGCTTCAACCACATCTACTGTGCTTATTGCAAAACTGAGACTGTTTAGAATTCTTTGAGGTATTAAGTGGAAGCGTTTGTGTCTCAGAACGATCTGCGGGACTCCAAACTACCTGGCCCCGGAGGTGCTTAACCGGCAGGGTCACGGCACGGAGTCTGACGTCTGGTCCCTCGGATGTGTCATGTGAGTTTTTTTTTTTTTAATTTACAATTTGAGCTTCACTCTGGCAGAATTTGAGTTTCTGATCTTGTGTTAACCCAGATGATGTGAATAGGCTGACMGTGGTTTCTCTGGTTTCTTCATAGGTACACACTGATGTGTGGCAACCCTCCATTTGAGACTCTAGACCTGAAAGAGACGTACAAATGCATAAAAGAAGTTCGGTACAACTTGCCCTCCACAATCTCCCCTTCTGCACAGAGACTCATCTCGGGCATTTTACAAAAAGCCCCCAGCGACAGACTCACCCTGGACCAGATCCTCAACCACGAGTTCTTCAAAGTATGCAAAACGCCGCTGTGAACTTAGTTCTACTTGTTTTAGAGCTTTTAACTTATGATTATGTGCTTCCGCTTGTCCTCACCGTCCCGTTTCTCCCTTCGGATTTCAGGGCTTCACTCCTGACAAACTTCCTCCCAGCAGCTGTGTGATGGTGCCAGAGCTCCATCCTCCGAGCCCTGCCAAGAAATTCTTCACTAAAGTCGCCAAGAGCCTCTTTGGCAAGAAGAAAGCTAAAGGTAGGCTGCAGCAGTAAACTTCAAAAGATGCCCAAAACTAATAATAAACCTGCTGGACTGTATATTTTGTCGAGTCTTTTGAAAAATGCCTTTTTTTTTTTTAAACTCGTGAAATGTTCTGTTTGTGCAGCGGAAAAGATACCAAATGAAGAAAAGGATGACAAAGACATTTCCAAGCTGGTGTCGGGCATCGTCAAGTGTTCCATCAACCGGCAGATAAGCTACAAAACCGTGGGATCCAATGAGGTAGGTCTTTTTTTATTTATTTATTTTTGACCACTCTTTCAAGGGAAATTTCCTTTTTTATTTTTAAAGGAAAAGGGTTTAAAATTGGTAAAAGCTCAGTTTTTTTAAATATAAAGCAAATTTGCAGCAATTGGTGTTGCCCTACAGATATGGTTTGTCTAAACTGAAAGGAATTATAGCCAAAATGGTGCTGGCTAGTTTCCATGTACAGATTGTGGAAAGTTTTYAGTTTTCCTGTTGCCATATACAATCAAGTGATTTTTAAAAAGGCTGTWATCATAATTGGAGCAACTAAAGGCCACAGCAACAGAATGCAMACTTGGCCAATCCCCTAATCAGGCTGGTTTAGTTTCTATTTGTAGAGGCCGATAAGAACTGCATTGTTTTTCTTTCTGATGTGAAAGGCTCTTTGTCAATGTAAACCAGTTCTGAGAACCTTTTTTTTTTTTATAAATGTAGTTTGCCTTCTCTGGAAAACGAATATTCTCTAATGTCAAAGTGCACAAAGTAGCTCTTAAAAAACCTTTTTTAGCTTGAAATCAAATATGACTACTCTTAGAAATGTTTTTGTTTGTGGTAAACTAACATACAGAGCTATAAGCCAATGGAGCAGTGTGTGCAAAGTTTCTCCTCTTTGCAAGAACAAGAAGCTGCACTGCATTTAAAAAAACTCAAAACCAAAGGGGCGCCAACAAGCGTGTGGTAGAAGCTGCGACTTTGATGCTTGATCTTGGGAAAAAAAAACGTACACGCTTTTGGAGAACTGCTTGCGCGAYGACTTAAGTTTTTGTCGTTTCGATGGCACCGATTTTTGGCACAGATTCTTTAGCACCGTGTGTTTTTTTGGTTGTGTGTAATCCTGTCTTGTCCTGCTGCTCAGGTGCCCTCTCCCTCTGGTCAGCTGGTCAGCACTGTGCCTCTGGAGCAAACTCCAGCTGAGGAGGAATCCAGAAAATCCATCTCTCGCTCTTTCAAGGGCACCATGGCTAGCAGCAGTGAACGTAGGTTTCACTTCCTTTTTAAAGCCTTATTTGGTTCGCACTACTTGTTGGTTTTTTGAAATTTCACATTTTTGTCTCTCTTGCTTCCCTCTCCAGCATGTGAGGACGTCCTGACTCCCACAGCTGTCGCAGAAGCTGCCATGAAAGTTCTCAAAAATTGCCTGGCCACCATGCCGATAGGTGAGCTTGAAGTACTTTGGATGATGATTATGTTGATTTAGCAGGTTGAGTTTTACATCAGTATTACCATACAGCCTGTACTTTTTTATAATTTGGATCACTTGGCAGCAAAATGCAGCAGCTTGTCTTGTCCAGAGAACATAGTTTTGTTAGATACAGAATCATTCATGTAAATAGGTGCTCTTCCAGGATCATTTGTTTCGTTTGTTCCCGTTGCCGTGGCTGTTTAAGTCCTTGAAATACTGCTGGCTCATGCAGCCTTGAATTCATTTCAAGCTTTGCATTTATAAACAC